CGCCGCCGCCGCGGGGCGGCGGGTGGCGCGGCCGCCTCAGCAGGCGGGGCGGGAGCAGGCGGCGGCGCCGCCAGCACGGCCACGGCCGTGCGGAGGCCCTCAGCCGCGCGCAGCAGGCGCACCGCGTCGCGGCCGCCTGCGGGGGCGCGGGCCGCCAGCCCAGCGGCGGCGTGGACCGCGAGGAGCGCGCCGCGCGCGCCCTCGAGCGGTGCCGCGCGGGCAGCCATCGCCGTACCAGGCGTCGGCGCGTCGGCGGCGGGGCCAGCAGCGAGCGCGCGTGAGCCAAAATGGTACTGGAGGAGGAGGAGGAGGAGGGGAGGAGGAGGAGGAGGAGGAGGAGGAGGAGGAGGAGGGAGGAGTAAGGGGGGGGACGAGCGTCCCCGACGGCCGAAAAACTCTGTTTGACACCGCCCTTCGCCCGCCAAAAAACCGGCCGCCGCGCGCGTCGGGGGAGGGCCGGCCGAGATGCCCACGGCGGCCCTCGGTCCCGGGGCGTCCTCTCGCTCGCCCTCTGGGCCCCTCTCCGGGAGAGGCCTCTCGTCGCATTCGGGCGGGGTACGCCCCGAAGCGCTGGTCATAGAAGGAGAAGAAGGAGACGAAGAAGAAGACGAAGACAAAGAAGACGAAGAAAAAGAAAACGAGCAAGAGGACAATTCGTAATAATAATTATAATAATAATAATAATGATGGAAATAATAATAATCATAATAATAATAATAATAATAATAATGATAATAATGATAATAATAATAATAATTAAATAATTAAATAAATAAATAAATAAATAATGATAATAATAATAAAACTAAAAATAATAATAGTAATACTAAGAATAAGAAGAATAAGAAGAATAATAAGAATAATAAGAAGAATAATACGAAGAATAATAATAAGTATAATAATAATAATAAGAAGAAAAAGACACAACATAAACGTAAACTGTTGGCGCTCCGCGTGGATTTCTCGGATCTGCGCTGGACCCCCTCCCTGGCGCGCGGAACGCGCTAAGGCCGGCGCCGGAGGCGCCGCCCGGGGGGGCCCAAACGCCGATTCCAAGAAATCCGCGCGGAGCGCCAAAAATTGGTGGTTTAGCCGCTTTTTCTTCGTCGATGAGTGGATGTTGCGAATGTTTTCTTATCCGGCGTTTCGACATTGGGCGAAGCGGGGGAGGCGGGGAGGGGGGGTGTCTGGCTCAAGACCTCTGCTTAGCGCGACTGCTTGCAACAGTGCGTCCTACGGGAGAGACTCCACGTGCCTGCGACGGGCACCCCAAAATTGCCGAGATCTACTCCGTTTGGGGGGGGGGGGGGCGAGGGCCCGCGCCGATCGGCGAAACAATACATCAGAGGACGATCTCTTGGACAGGGCGGGAGAGCCGCCGTTTACTCGAGAGGCGTTCCGTCGAGTGAGCACGGCCGCAGTCGCTCGAGCACCTCTGTGGAGCCCTTCGTGCAGGGCGACGACACCAAAACAGATCCCTGGGAGGCACCTCGGCCCACAGTTTCTGGCGGCGGGGATGATTTGGGTGAGGTCGGGCATGTCCACCCAAAGGCGGATTTTGTAGGAAATCAAGAAGTCCAAACATGCTCAAAAACAATCCAAACAACTCAAAAAACCGTCCCCCGATTGATTATTTTTGTCAGTTTTTGAATTTTCCTCCTGTAGAAGGACAGGCCCGACTTACGATTTGGGAGAGGACAGCTGCGTCATTGAAACGACGAAGACGTTCTCGAGCAGGCCTGGAAGCTGATCGATTGATCTTCGCCCAGAGCCCATGGCGATGCTGCCTGGCGCTGTGTGGCGCCCCCCCCCCCCGACATGTCGTACTCGTCACCCGCACGAGAAGCCGCCCCAGTGGGTCTCGAGCAGGGCTGGACCTGAACGCTGATTTGCGTTATGTTTTCGTTTTTCCCCAATCAGAGCTTGCCTCTGTAGGGGTCCTGGCGGATTCATATGGTTAGGTTAGATTTGCCGCCGATTTTCGCCGCACGCCCGGGTGCCCGGGGGCCCGGGGGTGCCCGGGTGCCCGGGTGACTGTGTGCCCGGGTGCCTGGGTGCCCGGGTGCCCGGGTGCCCAGGTGCCCGGTAGCTCTATATAGCTCTATAGCCCTATAGCCCTGTAGCCCTATAGCCCTATTAGCCCTATAGCCTTATAGCCGTATAGCCGTATAGCCGTATAGCTGTATAGCCGTATAGCCATATAGCCCTATAGCCCTACAGCCCCAAAACCCTATAGCCCAATAGCCCTATAGCCCTATGGCCCTGTAGCCCCATAGCCTTCTAGCCCTATGGCCTTATAGCCCCATAGCCCTAAAGCCCTACAGATATTATGATTGTTTTTGTCTCCGGTACCATGTTTTTCGTTTTGCTCCACCTGTTTTCCTGTACCTCCCTGCCAAAACGAAAAACAAACAACAGCCGAAGTCCAGCAAAACAACGACTGGGTCCAGCCCTGGTCCCGAGTGCGGCAAATTCGTGTCGCCATGGCGTGGGCCCTGGCTTGTGACACCGCGTGGGTCACTCGATCGTGAACGACCGCGGCTCTTCAACTGCGCAGCTCATTCGATACTGTCCGATTCGGGAGCGCTGGCGGCATTCAATCTTGAAAGCCCGCGCTGGGATCGCCGCCGCGTCAGCGCGACACGGGGTCGGAGGATCGCGCCGCATCGCCGATGTATCGGCGATGCCACCATGGAGAAGATCGAGCTGCGAAGCGCGCCGCATCACCGATGGATCGGCGGTGCGGCGCGATCCTCCGACCCTCTTTGCACCACCTGGGCACTGTTTGGTTAGCGGACGCGGACACTGGCCTATCTGGTGAGCCAGATGCGGAATGCGCGCGCACATCGAGGCCCATGAAGAGGCGAGGCGAAGTGGCGGGACGAAGCAACCAAACGCGCCGTACATACACGGGGCTAGGATTATGTCGGGCCTGTCCCCCTACAGGCGGATTTGGGGCGGAAAAAATTAAAATAACAAAAAAAACACCCCAACAAGATTCAAAAATGGTCGGAAAATCGTCCCCAGACTATTTCTTTTACTATTTTTGAATACTCCTCCTGTCGAGGGACAGGCCCGACTGAAGGCGAGGTGAAATGGCGGGACGAAGCAGCCAAACGCGCCGTGCGTGCGCGGGGCCGGGCTCCGTGATCTCACGCTGCCCCTCCTCGATCGCTCCGACGGGGCACGGCTCGGGGTGCCGCTCCGTGGGCGGACGCGGCCGAGGCCACGCACGTGGAACGTGATGGGGGGAATGAGAAGTCGGGGGCGGCCAAGCGGGGGGCGTCCAAGAAGAGGGGGGGGGGTGCAAATCGTGGTCGGCGGCACGTGCGCGGCCCAAGTGGGGGCCATGAAATCCGAGGAAATACCATGGCCCGCGCCATGAGATCCTCCCCCCCTCTAGTCACCACCCCCATCTCTGCCGCCCCCGAAGAAGATGTTTGCCGAAACCCTGCCGGAAGTGTTCAAATGCGGACATCAGGTCTAACATGGCAAGGCAGCACACATACAGAAAGTCTGTGCGTCTGCGGGCAGTTTCCTTCACGGGACCAGGCCACCCACCCAGGCACCCCTCCCCAAATCACTCCAAGCAAGCCCAGAGCGCCGATGCTGTTGTCTTTTGCTTCCAGCAGGCGTGTCTCGGAATCTCCGACCCCTTCCCGAGAGGCGTTTTTTGCCCTTAGTGTTTTGTTTGCGGCCCAAGGGCAAAGATGCGGTCACCAGGGGCTCAAATTTCAGACACCCATCCGCCTTGACTAGCGGAGCAGCACAAATACACGAACATACGCTTCTGGCGAAACGCGCGGAGTTCTTGCATCGGCGCTGGGGCCACCTGGGCGCCGCTGTCCGAAGATCATCTGCACAAAAGCATCAGCTTTCAGAGGTCCGCGAGGGTGTGCTGCACCGGCGCTGAACTCGCCATCGCTCGGACGTCCATTTCTCGTGTATTTTTTCGATTTCGTGCGTGTTTTCTTCGCCAAATGATCAAGGATGGTTCTCGATGGCCGTCGCCGAAGAAAAAATGCACACGTCCGAGCGATGCCAAGTGAATCGCCACCCCCTGGAACGTGGAGCGCGCCAGGAGCGGCGCCGCCAGGAGGGGCCCCAGCGCCGATCCACGCAATCCGCTCGGAGCTCCAAAAGTTAATGTAATATTCACGCCGTTGCTTTTGGCCTTGATTTACTCAAGTCGGCGGCGAGCCCGGGGGAAGTGAGAAGGGGCGGGCCTTCTCAGGAGGCTCGGAAGTCCCTGGCCCTTCTGAGAAGCTTCCTGAGCCTTCCCCGCAGAGACAGCAAGCCTCTCAGAAGCCGCGAGCGAGGGCTTCTGAGAAGCCTCGCCGCCTTCTGAGCAGGCCTGCCGATCCAGGCCTCCCCTCGGGGCCGGCCAAAAGAGTGGGGCGCCCAAGAGGAGGGGCGCAAACCATGGCCAGCGGCACGTGCGCGGCCCAGCGGTACATCTTCAAATAAGAAGAGGGGCCATGACATCTGAAAAGATGCAGTCGGGGCGTTGACCTAAGGAACCCAAAATAAGGAACGAGGCCCTTTTTTCCCAGAAGTTACACTCCGATCTCCCACGGGAAACCCCATGAACACCTGAGGCAAGCTGTACAACAATCGAGGAACACCGAGCCCCTCCCCAACAAAAAAGGGTTCCTTCTTCAGCGCCCCGACTGTAGCGAACGCGGACACTGGCCTATCTGGTGAGCCAGATGCGGGATGCGCGCACGCACATCGAGGCCCATGAAGAGGCGAGGCGAAGTGGCGGGACGAAGCAACCAAACGTGCCGCACGTACACGGGGCTAGGATTATGTCGGGCCTGCCCCCCTACAGGCGGATTTTGGGCGAACAAAAAAAAATACCCCGACAAGATTCGAAAATGGTCGGAAGATCGGAAAATCGGCCCCCGCCATGATATCCACCGCCCCTGATACCCACCCCCCCTCTTGGCCGCCCCCGCTGGACGGACGCTGCCTCGCGCGCCGGACCCTGGGCCGCCGGCCAGTCCAGGTGCAGCAGCACGCGCGAGGCGCGCACGGCGACGTCGGAGAAGCCCCGCGGCCCCTGGCAGGAGCTGGGGGGCGGGAGGCCTGGGGGGGGGGAGGGAGGAGGAGGACGGAGGAGGAGGAGGAGGAGGAGGAGGAGGAGGAGGAGGAGGAGGAGGAGGAGGAGGAGGAGGAGGACGGAGGAGGAGAACTGAGGAGGAGGAGGAGGGGGAGGAAGAAGAGGAGGAGGAGGCGGATGAGGCGGATGTGTGGGGCGGGAGGCTGGCTTTCAGCCTGTCCTGCCCGAGGCGCCTCCAGGGAGGCATCGCGGACCCCCCTCACCAGGAAGTGACCCTTGGCGACAACTTCTTTGGACGCCCGAAATGTGCACGGAAAGAATGGGCACAATGCCCAACAACAAATGTTGTCCCAAACCAACAGCGGCCGCTGTTGGGCAGGCGGCCTCCTGTCTCAAATGGACACAGGCCGCGGCGGCGCGGACAGCGAGTCCTGTTCAAAATGAGCAGCAACTGCTGTTGGGCATTGTACCCATTCTTTCCGTACCCATTTCGTTCGTGGCGCCGCCGCTGGCGCGCTTGGCGCGCCGGCGCCTGGGGAAGGAGGTCTGGCCGCCAGCCCAGGAAATTCGCGCGCGCCCTCAGACATGTACGTTTTCTTGTGCTTCCTGAAGCAAGCCTGGTCGCGTCATCTCCTTCTTTCCCGACTGCTCTCCCCCCTCTAAGCGAGCACAACAATAACCAGCCTCGAATGTATCCCTATCCCTAAGATGGGCGAGCAAAAAGCGAGGACAATCTTAGGGATAGGCCCTCAGAAACTGAGGGAATCCTTAAGATCGGCATCGAGGTGAGGTGATGTCAAACATAGGGATAGGGATATGTTTCAAACTGGTAAAACAAGTCTGTCGCCTCAGCGAAGGCGGCGGGTGAACGCCGTGGACTGCAACGGGTCCTCCCTCCCCCCAACAGGGGAGGTGCTCGCTGACTTTCGAAAGTGCTAGGGAGGGAGGCGGCCTCGAGCTTCTCTTGAGCAGGGACCGACCGTGCCGGCATTCCTAGAGGCCTTACCACGACATGTTCGCCAAATCCCAACATGTGCTAATAACGAAAACAATATTCTCAGAACATAAAGCAAATATGTTAAAGCAGGACAGCCCCAGCCAGAAATGTTATAAGAACATTTCGCGCAGATCACAAACGGTTATTGGAACATTCTTTGGTGGGCCTACAGGCGAGCCAGGACGCTTCGCCAATGCCTGATTGTCTCCAAGAGCTCGAGGCAGACGACGCACTGAGCTGGATCCCGCGGGACCAGGCAGCCCAGCGAGGCACGCGACTGGCCGAGCACACGAAGCGTGAATCTCTCAGAATCCACCTTTTATCTAACTCGTCCGAGGGGATAGATCCAGAGATCCAGCGTGCAGTAGGGACCCTTGCACAAGAAACCTTCCACAAGAAGCCGAACCCTGAGACCCCAGGACGTCCATCGCTGTTTGGTGGGAACGTCACGCTTACCATAGCCAAACCATCGAAACCCAAGAAACCCAGGGCACCCTGGAGGCAAGCAAAGTGTTTCATGGCATGGGCCTCCGCTGCATGGAAAACAAGACGGAAATGTTTCGCCATTTTCGGCATCTGGAGGCCCTCGCTAGGCGTCGGGACCGTAAAGAACGATTTGGGACGGAAAGCCGGTCCTGGGGGATGGGTCGAGGCTTCTGGGGACCCCGTGATGAAAAAACACGGCATCGGATCTTTGGGGAACGCGATAACCATGACCGAGACCGAAGACAGAAACGTCGGTGCCGATCTTGGTCACCGTCCATCTTGGTCACCGTCGATTCGTGGACCATCCTCGAGAATAGGCGACGGAAGGCATGGACCATGACCAAGATCGGCGTCGACAAGATCCAATGACATCTTGGTCATGCCCAGCGTGCCCAAAGATCCGACGTCGTGATGTTCTCAATACGGGATCCCCAGAAATCTCGACCCATCCCCCGTGACCGGCTTTTCGTCCGGAGTCGTTGTTCGGCGGTCCCGAGGCCCGGCGAGGGCCTCCAAAAGCCGGAAACGGCGGACAAGACTCCGCCTTGATGTTGGTCAATGCGCTGGATCTCTGGGTGTTCCGTGCCTCGATGCCCTTCGATCCAGGCACCCTGCGCGCGCCGCCGACAAGGGTTGGCCCATGTTGATGCACCCGTGGGCTCGACCGCCCAGCCCAAACCCGCTCAGAGGCGGGCCCCGGACCCCTCCCCGGGGTCCCTCCCGACCCGCTTCTCGACCGGGATCCCGCCGCGGCGAAGAGAAGCCTCAATGAGGACCATCAATGGTCCTCATTGAAGCTTCTCGTCGCCGCGGCCGTTGCTCGTCTGGGATGGACGGCGCGTATGCTCGCGCGGGCAACGCGCGGGCACGAACGACTGGTCCTTAGATGACCGCCAACATTGGATGTCAGTCATACCCGATCACCTACATTAGCGATATACTGAGCATACATGGGCCATTCAGCACCCATTGCAGACCCCGTGTTGCGGACCCCTTCTTTCGCCCTCCGGATCAAGAGTCACTGCACTGACCTTGCAGACGTGGTGCAGCGGATTTTGGGTGTGGATTTCTGTCAATGCAAAACCCCGATACGGCGAGCGAAAAACGAAGTGAATTTCATGTGGATGTTTTGTTAGTCCTCATTCCTGGCCCAAGAAAGCCGTACCCAATTCACTCCGAAATCCGGAACGGAACTCTCCAGGACACTCCAGGCCCATCCTATTGTTTTCCAAACAAAATCCGCTCTGCGATGTTGGCGCCATGACATCGGGGATCTTCTGACCCAGGCCAATCCAAATCCTGTCAGCAGGAAACCAAAACAAGGCGATGCAGGGAAACAACAACTGCAACGCAGGTCTTCGCAAACCCGGGTAAGCCAACATGCGCAGCCGCCTCGCGGCCACGAGCGGCTCGCTAACCCTGGTCAGCCAGAGGGGATCGTCGCTGGATCCTGCAGGATCCCGTGCCCTGGCTGACCCCCGTTTGCACTGACCCCCGTCTCAAGGCTCCCGATTCGGCTACACGCAGGAGTGACCCTGGGTAAGAGTGACCTTTGGTGCGCGGCTTCTGGGGGGCCGCGGGGGGACCAAACACTGGCGCGCAAGGCGCTACTGTCGCATCGCGTTTTGCGACCTGGGGAACCCATTGGGCCCGCACCAAAGGTCACTCCGGCGAACGGTCACTCGACCGATGACGAGGAGGACGAACAACGCCGGGGAGGGCCGCCACTGCCTCGACTCGCCCTCCTCCGACGACGAGGCCCGGACCGCCTCCCGCCGTGCGGCCCGCGCCGCCCCCCTCCCTCTGCTCGGAGGGGGGCCCCGGCGCGGTGGCCTCGGCGGCGCGGCGGCGCGGCGGTCGGCGGCCTCGGGATCCTTTTGAGCCCTCACCGCACGGTCCGCCACCGCAAGGGCGGAGGAGGAGGAGGAGGAGGAGGAGGAGGAGGAGGAGGAGGAGGAGGAGGAGGAGGAGGAGGAGGAGGAGGGGGAGGGGGAGGGGGAGGAGGAGGAGATTTTGGGACCTCGGCGGCCCCCGTCGCCCGAGACATCGTCGGAGAGCGATCCGAGTGCCAAGATCGTGCGGTCATCCCGAGTCCCAACACGTCGGTCGGAAGAAGTAGGGGCAAACACGAAACATAGGGAGGCTGATAAAGCAGATGGGGCCCCGGCCCTCCCAGAACAAAAAAAAAAAACAAAGCACAGCAAGCACAGATCGGTTATTGAAGCAGGAAGGCGCTTGCAGTAGATTGGGATATGGGAATCCCGAAGTACCTACTTTCAACGACCGACGTGTGCTGACTCGCCACATTTTCTTTCTCCTGGTGAAGACCCCGCAGCCAGAGGGCCCCTGAAAGGCGAACTGGGGGCGGGGAGCTCCCCTGACTTCCTGCGACAGCCGAACGTCTTCTCATGTACACTGCAGTCGGACCTAGGCCAGAATAACATCCCTCCCTCAAGAACGTGAGACCCTCCGTCGGCCAAAGCAAACAGACCATCCAAGGGTAACCTCCCCAGGATGCGCAAAAAAACAACAAACACGAAGAACACCAAAGTACCTCCCCGAACCGACCTCGATCTGATGATTACCTCGGTCCGACTGTATGGTACCAGCCCTCTATACACACGCGTTCATATTGACAAACCTGCTGAATACGGCATCGTTGACTTGCCATCGCTCGGACGCCCGTTCCACGTGCATTTTCTGGTCTCGTGCGTGCTAATTGTCCGCACGATGATATTCAAGATCCTCCTCGATAGTCCTGGCCGAGAAAAACGGCACACGTCCGAGCGATGCCAAGTTGAAATGCGGAAGCTCGGCGAGATGGGGGGGACCACCGACGACGATGACGACGACGACGACGACGACGACGACCGGCGACGACGAACGGCGACGAGCGACGACGACGAACGACGACGACGACGACGACGACGACGACGACGACGACGACGACGACGACGACGACCCGCCGCGTGGTCACCTCGCCGTGTGGCGCGCCCCGCAAGCGACGGGCCTGCGCGCGGCGGGGCGCGGCTGCGGCACCCCCGCGGGGCTCCGGGCCGCCGCTCGGCCCACCGCCAGGAGGAGACGCCGCCGCCAGCGGCGGCGGCGTCGGCGCTGGCGGCGCTGGCGTAGCTCGGCGTCGGCGTCGTCGTCGTCGCCGGCTCCGTGGCACCTTGGCGCCGCCACCGGCTTCACTGTTAGGGGGCCACACGCGAACCCTGCCCCTACCCCCCTCGATTTCTGAGGGGGAGGGTGGGGTTCACTTCACTCGGGAGCTCCCGAACGAAATGATCCCCACCCTCCCCCTCAGAAATCGTGGGGGGTAGGGGCAGGGCTCGCAGGTGGCCCCCTAACTTTCGCCGCCGGCGTCGTCGTCGGCGCCATCGCTGGCGTCGCCGTCGTCGGCGGCGGCGTGGGCGTGGGCGGCGGCCGGCGCGGGCGTGGCCTCGACGGTCCAGCTGCCGCGGGGGCTGTCCTCGGCGGGCTGCCAGGACTCGTCGCTGCGGGGGCGGTCCTCGTCGCCGTCAACCTGAGGGTGCGTGCATGACACGCACACACATAGATGCACACATACACACATACACACATACACACAAGCGCACACGCAAACACAAATGTATGTATGTCTTGATAGATAATGTTATGCATATAGACATAGAATTGCGTTCCTCAAGGACGTGCGGCCGCCAGTGGGCACAACAAACAATACTGCGACGCCGAGGCACGCCCCAGGACCCGGCCGGAGCAGGCACTGGCAATGCCTTTGCCTATGTGGTGGGATCGCCCCTGGCGCTGGGCATGCACGGAATGGGCGTGCTAGAATCTGGGCCAGCACGGGAACGGAAAGAGCGCTTCAGGAAACCGTTCGCTCTTGGGAGCCATGGCGTTGAGAGATTTTTCACGTCACCGTTCGCTCTTGGGAGACTTGGTGTGAAGATCTTTTCCATGTAAGTCTTCGCTCTTGGGAGCCTTGGCAACAAGAGCTTTTTGCATAACCATCTGCTCTTGGGAACCTTGGTGCGAAGAATTGTGCACATGGGACTCTTTGGGGTGTCTCGGGGCCCTCTTGTGCCGTAAATATGGAAACCCCTCTGGCCGTCTCGGGGGTCTTGGCCCGTCTTGGGGCCCTCTTGGGGGCCTCCTGAAGCACTCGTGGGACTCTCTTGGAAGCCGTATTGCGGCTCTGTGGTCGTTCTGGAGCCCTCTTGTGCTATCTTGGATCTCATTTGGGAGCCTCCTGGGACGTCTTGGGGCAACCTCGGAGCCCTCGGAACCGTCTTCGGCCGATCTGGGCCTTCAAAACCCATCGGTTTCGGAAGGATTTCAAAATAGTGTGTCCAAAAAACCTACAAAACACACAAGGTTTCGCAATACGAATTTTCAACAAAAGGGTGCGCGCGCGCACTTGCGTCGTCGTCGTCGTCATCATCGTCGCCGTCCTCCCTCCTCCCGCGTCGTCGTCGTCGCCTACGTCGTCCTTTGTCTTTCCTCGTGTTCGTCGTCGTCGTCCTCTTTGGCGTCGTGGTCGTTTCCGTCGTCGTTGTCGCCGTGGTCGTCCTTCCTCCTCCTCCCTCGTCGTCGTCGTCGTCCGTCGTCGGCGTCTCGTCGTCGTCCCTCCTATTTCGTCGCCGTCGTCGTCGTCGTCGTGTCGTCGTCGTCTTCCCTCCTCCCTCGTCGTTGTCGTCGTCGGCGTCGCCGTCCTTCCTCCTTCTTCGTCGTTCGCGTCGTCGCCGTCCTCCCTCCTCCCTCGTCGATGTCGTCGTTGTCGTCGTTGTCGCCGTCGTCGTCCTCCCTCCTCCCTCGTCGTCGTCTTCGATGGCGACGTCGTCGTCGTCTTCGTCGTCCTCGACGTCGGCGTCATCGTTGTCGTCGTCGCCGCCGTCGTCGTCGTCGTCGTCTTCGTCTTCGTCGTCTTCGTCGTCGTCGTCGTCTTCGTCGTCTTCGTCGGCGTCGGCGTGGTCGTCGTCTTCGTCGTCCTCGACGTCGGCGTCGTCATCGTCGTCGTCGTTGTCATCGTCGTCGTCGTCGTCGGCATCGGCGTCGTCGTCGTCGTCGGTGTCGTCGTCGTCGTCGTCGTCGTCGTTGTCGGCGTCGGCGTCGTCGAAGTCGGTGTCGTCGTAGTCGTTGTCGGCGCCGTCGTCGTCGCGGCTGTCGCTGTCGTCGTCGGCGTCGCCGTCGTTGCCAAGTGCCATTCGGTACCCACCCTCACGGTCTTAAGAGATTTTGCAAACCAAGCTGCGGGTGGGTGGGTGGGATATTTGCAAGAGCGCGGGATGTGTCAACTCGTTTGTTAAAATCATTTGCACCACATAGCTTGCACCACACAACAAACACCACACACCACGTACTTTGCATCACATAGCGCTCCCATCCACAATGGAATCACATTCTGCTTGAGGGTCACGCAGGCCAACACGGATGTGTATATGTGTATATGTATATATACACAAACCCCACGGGAGGCAAGATCACTCAACATCGACTCGATAAGTCTGATCGGATCGAAACGTGCGTCGGTTCGGGCTGCATCGGCACGGAATCGAGATCGAATCGGATCGTCCGCGCCAAGATGCACAACAACGCCATGCAAACATCGGGCATCGGATCGTCGGAATCAAATCGACTCGAGCATGCCGGAATCGGTGTCGACTCCGATCGACAGGAAGTGGACCCCGGGGGCACACCGACACAGACGGGTCGAACAACCGTGGCGACGCGTGTGTGTGTGTGTGTGTGTGTAAATATATACATATATCTATACATAGGTATGTGCGATTACGTAAATAATGGCCACGACGGAAGGCGCATCATGCGCCCCACCCACAGACATACCCAACCCGCCCACACTGACAAATCACTATGGCGACATGGGAGTGTCGGTCATCTTTCGGTCCCAGGCCACCAGCTGCTGCAAGAGCGGCGCCAGCGGGTTCAGCACCGTGCGCCTCCGCTCCAACGAGGGCGACATCGAAATCGCTGCCGCAATTCGTCCTCGTCGGCATCGTCGTCGAGGACGTTGCTTTCGGAACCTGTCTAGTCTTTTTGGCCGCCAGAGGGGGTTTCCCCACAGCCGCGGCCGGACGCGTCTCGAACGACTGCCGGCGGCAAGCGAGTCGGGAGAGCGAGAAGGAGAAGGCCGTCCCAGAAGGCGGCAGGCCTTCTCAGGAGCGCGTGTATATTTTCAACGATGACGGGCGTCATGGGGACGTGGGGGTATGACGTAACGCCCCCTCCCGCCGTGTGGCTCCAGCACCACAGCCGCGCCCGCGCGCACGCCGACGATGAGCGACGAGCGACGAGCGACCACGACGACGACGCGAGGAGCATGTAGGTGGCGATCTGCCCCTCAGCGCCAAGGCACACCGCAATGCTTACGTGCACCACGGCGCGCGTGTACACCACGGCGCCTGCGTACACAGCAACCGCCGTGTGCAACGCAGCGCCTGTGTACATCACAGCGCTCGCGTGCACCACAGCGCCTGTGTACACCGCAGCGAATGTGCACACCGCAGCAAACCAACTGCAACGCAGCACCCTGTGTATACCACAGTGCGTGCGTGCACCGCGGCGCCTGTGCACACCACAGCGCCTGTCTACACCACAGCATCCGCGTGCGACGCAGCGCTGGTGTACACCACAGCTCTTGCGTGCACAGGACAGGTAAGAGCATGTAGGTGCTGATCTGCTGCGGACAAATAAACGCTACGCAAGGGAAATGCTGCTCATAGAACGCGACGTTATCTCCACCTCCCCCCTCCGCCACCTCCACGTCCACCTCCACCTCCTCCTCCTCCTCCTGCCTCACCCTTCCCCCTTGTCGTGCGGGTCGGCGCTACAGCGCACGTGCGCATCTCAGCGTGCACCGCCGAATGGTCGATTGAATCAGTTAACTTGGCTCCTGGACAGCGAATAGTGCTGGAGTCTCTTGGGCGCAAATGGGAGGAGTTAGGATGGCGCGGGCGGAGACGGGAGGCTTCGTAGATTCCAATGGCGCTCATTTTCCATGTGGAGTCATTTCCAAATCCTATGCACGACATGTTTTTCCCGTGGAAAGCCACAAGCGCTCCATTCTGTCATAGGGATTCGTTGTAAACGTCTACGTGCAACAGTGGTGCTCTGTTGCGCACGGTTACTGTGGTGCACACTGGCGCCATGGTGCACACAGGCGCTGTAGTGCACGCGGGCGTTGTGGTGTACGAGGGACTGTGGTGTACACAACCGCTGTGGTGCCTGGGCACTCACTGGCATTGTGTTGCACGCAGCTGCTGTGGTGTACATAGGCGATGTGGTGTACACAAGTGCTGTGGTGCATGCGTGCATTGTGGTGTACACAGGCGCTGTGGTGCAGATCGCCACCTACATGCTGCTGCTATCCGTCCCCGGTCATTCCTAGGCAATCCCAGACGCCACCGGCGCGACACAGGACGTCATCGGCCCCTTCCCCCCCACCAAATGATTGCAGTCATCGGCCAGGATTGCTTTCACAAAAAAACAAGCTCCAGCCGCGTCCGCGCGCACGACGACGATGAGCGACGAGCGGCGCGCGACGAGCGACAACGACGACAACGACGACGACGACGACGACGGCTGCGGACCAGACTCCACTGCGGATTCTTATGCGGACAACTATTCGGATCCAGATGTGCACGGCGGCAGTGCCAGGAGCGCACTGGGGGGGGTAGCGTTACGTCCTAAGGGGGGCGGGGGCCATGACGCCCGGCATGCCCCAAGCAATCAAAAAAACACGCTCCAGGAACCCTCGCACCTTCTGAATAACTTTCTATGCCTTCGGGAAAGCTCCGAAAACTTCTCAGAAGGCCGGGGGACTCCCGGGCCTTCTGAGAAGGCCCGCCCCTTCTCACTCCACCCCCCCGCTCGCAACCCATCTTCGGTCGTCTTTTCGGTCGGTTGCCTGTCCAAACTGATGGTTTGGGCTCGCTGCCGAAGCTGGCCCCAGGAGGGTGTCCTGCAGGGGCGCTGGAGGGGGAGAATTTGGAGCGACCGCGGGGCGCGGACGGCGCAGGGCTCCCGGGGATACGTCGCGATAGTACAGCTCACGGCGTCAATGCATCTCACGATCTCGGCCTCTGGACGTGACGCTCTCGGGGTGGCTTTGAGAGGACACGCGAGAGGACACAAGACCCTTCCGATGGCCACGCTGCCACTGGAACGTGGAGGACATGGGTCGCGGAGAACAGGACACAAGGGCACCTTGTGTGGGCAGGGTCGACCTAGTGATCAAACTCGACTGTACCGTTCACGGCGTCAGTGAATCTCAGGATCTCGGCCACTGGGCGTCGCTTGCAAATGGGGAGCAAAAAATGAGGGTTGTCTTGGGAGCCTCTCGGGCCGTCTTGGGGCGGTCTTGGGGGCCTCTTGGGCCGTTGCCAACGCCTTGAAAGCCGAGAAGCCGTGCATGCTAAAAATGTATGTTCTCCCATAAAACATATATGATTTGGGCCTCCTGTGGGCCTCGTGGGACGCCTCTTGGGGGCCTCTTGGGGCGTCTTGGGGGCAAGGCGACGGTGCACCCCTCGGGCCCTACAGGAACCCTTTTGGGGCCCGAGAGGGCCCCTCGAAGGGCCCTGAAAGGTCCCTTTTCCGCAGCCCTCGCTTGCCCCCCCCCCCGTCGAACGCCCCTGCACTACGCGACCCTCGAGTCGTGTTGCTCCCATCGTACTGAGCCTCTGGACGGCTGCTGTCCGGCCCGCGGAGCCCGAGGCGAAACACCAGTCCCGGGGGATCGGAGTGGAGCAGAGCGCTGGAAGGGGACCCGAGACGTCGCGAAGGGGCCACGACGCTGGAGGTCCGAGGCGGACGGCGCGTGGGAGGCTACCCTTTCGAAGGGGCCCAGGGGCGCACAAGCGAAGAGACAAGAATGCAACCCGAGCGGCGTGGAGACCGACCCGATGCGCGACGACGTGGCGACTCCACACGGTGGCTTACGGCGGGTTCGTGTCGTAACGGCCCCAGTGCCTGTCTCCAACGTCCCACGTGGATCGCTCAACCTCGATCGCATCGACGGCGATTCGATCGCCAGATCGCTCCGTAATTGGCCGATGTGTGGACATGGGCGACGTTGAACCGACAACGGCATTTGTTAGCGGTATCGTTGTTATCGCTGTGGTTGTTGTTATCTTCATCCGTGCTATCCTTATGTGTTATCGCTGTGATCGTTATCGTTGTGATTGCTGTGATAGCTGCGGCCGCTGTGGTCGTTATCGTTATCGTTGTGATCGCTGTGATTGTTGTCGTTGTCGTTGTGATCGCTGTGATCGTTCGTTGTTTTCGTTGGTACCGCTGTCGCTGTAGGCGCCCGCGCGGTGGTCGCCGCCGCGTCGCCACGACGTGAACTGGCCGTGCGCGGACCGACCGGATGCGCGGGGCACCGCGCGGAGCAGAGGGGCGCCCGCGCGCGACCTGACGCGGCCAGCCTTCGCTGGCCAATGCCCGCAAGGGCGTCGCCATCGACTGCACGATGGACGCGGACGCTGGCCGCGCGGGCATGCCGGACGGCCAGCGGTGGTTGCATCTCTACAACATGTTTCCCGCGCCGCGCGCGTGCGGAACAAGTTGATCCTGCGGCCGCTGCCGCGAGAGCTCCTGGAGCGAAGGCCGCCAGCGTCCTTGCGGAAGGCCCTCTTGGAGTCCGACATGGGAGCGGAAAGCTCCAGGGCAGAGGCAGAACAACTCGCGGCAAAACTGGACTTCGTGCCGCCTCCCGCCTGAGCGCGGCGGCGCCCCGCTCGAAGCCCGCGGGGTTGTCCCAACGGCTTGGTCTCGCGCGACAGCGGCTCGCGGGGTTGCCCCGACGGCCTGGCCCGCGGGGTTGTCCCAACGTTTTCGCGGTGAGGCCATTAGAGAAAGCGCCCGTGCTGGCCGAGTCGGCGACGGCGCCGAGGAAAACCGACACGCGCGCTCATTCAATAGGAAAGGGAGGAGGTGGCGGGGAACGAACAAAAACACGAGGGCGAGGAGGGGGCAACGTAGAGAACGGGAGGAGGACTTGCGCCAGGGCGAACAGATGACGCAGAGGAGACAAAGGACACCTCACTAATGATGAGGACGACGATGAGGGTTATTTCCAGACTCGCCGAAAGGATGCTCAGGCGGGGTCCTACCGTCGGAGTAATCATCTTATTCCGCGGCACCCGCCGCGCAACAACGACGACGACAGCTACGACGACTACGACTGCGACTGCGACGACGACAGCTATGACTACGACTGCGACTACGACTACGATTGCAACTACGACTACGAGGGGGAGGAGGAGGAGGAGGAGGAGGAGGAGGAGGAGGAGGAGGAGGAGGAGGAGGAGGAGGAGGAGGAGGAGGAGGAGGAGGAGGAGGAGGAGGAGGAGGAGGAGGAGGAGGAGGAGGAGGGAGGAGGAGGAGGAGGAGGAGGAGGAGGAGGAGGTTTTAGGACCAGTCCTCCTCACCGCCGAGAGAAAAGGGAGGGGGACCTAAAGTAAAGACCTTTAGCGGTTATGCGCGTTGACTGCAAGTCTGAAGATCGCGCCGCAACGCCGCTACATCGCCGATGCAACGCCGGTGCATCACCGACGTTGGCGATGTATCGGCGCTGCTGGCGTGGAGAGGATCGGGCTCCAGATCGAGCTGCGTCGCCGATGTATCGGCGTTGCGGCCGGCGTTGCGGCGCGATCCTCCGACCCCATGGTCATACCCCAGACCCCCGACGTCGAGATTTTTTCACAGCGACAACCCCCAAAGGTCTCTTAACCCCTTCCCTGGGACCAGTTTTTCACCCTGAGTCGTTTAGTTGGCGGTCCCGAGGCCCAGCAAGGGCCCCTGGAGTCAGAAAACATGGGAAAACCTCCCATCGTGATTTGTTCACAACACGAGGGGGTCTGGGACTCGGACCCCATTCGGGAGGCCGTGCCGTATGTTGCTCCCATCGTACTCACGGACCACATCCCAAACATAATTTCGAGCACCCAGAAAAATCGAAATATTGTCGAACGAGTATCGCCTGCCGGGGCCTGGCACGCGACATCCCTCCACTTTCGGTGCTTTCGTGGTGCTCGAAACTCTTCCCGGTGATGAAGGCATAAGTAGGCTGGAAGATCACAAGTCTTGACTGTTCCCGCGCCGCTCACGGCACTACAGTGGGGGCGTTGACCTAAGGAACGCTAAATAAGGAACGAGTCCCCTTTTCCCCATCAATGAAAATTCGATTCCCCATCGAAAACCTAGGGAAAACCTGAGGCAAGCTGTCAAACAATCAAGGAACACGGAGCCCCTCCCCAACGAAAAGGGTTCCTTCTTCAGGGCCCCGGCTGCAACGCCCCCCGCATCCAGCAGCCGCGAGGGCGCTCCCGCAGAGGCGAGCTCCCGCAGGGCGCTGGTGGGCCTGCATCTGGCCACCGCCGCCAGGCACGCTGGCGTGCGCGGGGGTCCCTGGGCGCCACTCTAGGAAGCCCTGGAAGCGTCGAGGCCATCGTGGCTACTGTTTCTTTTCTTGTCTTCGCCGATCTCGTAAGCCCCGCCGATGTCGTGTCGAGGCAATTGCTGCTACTGTCAGGTCGGGCGAAAGGGGGGGATAGCAAAGGGGGGGGGTGAGAATCAGCTCGCGTAGCTGATTTTCCCGGCGCCTCCCAGCGCCGGAGGCGGCCATGTATCGAGGAATGGGCCCCTCGGTGAGGCCGAAACCAGCTGCATGCAGCAAATTTCGTAACCCCCCCTTTCCCAATCCCACCCCTTCGCCCGGCCCGATACTGGTTACTACGTCAGGCAAGGTTGCGTCGCCGGCCTTTGTTTCCGGCTCCGTGGCTGTCTTCTGCTCGGGTCTTCCGTTCGGGTTCCGATTACTGCGCAGTGCGTGGGCTCGTTTCGGTGAACCGCTCTGCTGATGATGGGGATGCTGGGGATCACGAGGATTATTTAATCGCTTCGCTCATTCCGCCGGCCCTCGAGCGCTCTATGGGGCCTCTTTGAAGCCTCTTGGGGGCCTCTTTGGGGACTCCTAGGGGCCTCTGCAGTGTTCGTGCTCACGAGCCAGACTTCTGGAAACGGTGAGAAGCTAAGTCACCTCACTTCGCGCATCGCGCCCCGTGATGCGCAGCCCCAAGCTGGGCGAGGGCTGACAGATCCGTGGCTGCTAAAACGGTCTTCCCGCAAGGAAAAACAAATTCCCGGAACAAAACTCAGCGGGCTAAATAGTAAGCGGGCTGCTTTCCTGAAGATGAAAACAATTTCCTGGAGCTCCGCTTTAGCAGCCACGGGTTTGCCAGCCTTCGCCTGGTTCTGAGAAGTCCGCGGCGACCTCCACGCCCTCGCGAGGCCACCTCGGAGAAAGAGGGCGCCGCTGCAGTCCAAGCCGCGAGGCGCGCAGCGCGATGGGATCTTGAAACCCTCGGGATTGACCTAGAACAACGGCCCTGCCACTGCCAAGGCCCACTGAATGTCCCCCCCCCCACGCTCGCTTGAGTCCGGTTGGGCTTCCATTCCTGCGCGGAAAAAAACGGACATATCAACTCTCCGATTTTTCCACCAAGACGTGTTCCCTGGTGTATGAGAATCCACTCCGGGCAGAAGAAATTGACAACGTGTTGGAACCGCAGGGGAAACGAATGAAACACAGTGTCAAACAAGCAACTTCGCCCAAATAGTCATGGGGAGGCTAGGGTGAGCTTGCAGTGGACGAGATTGAATACAATAGAGATAGTATATCTACTCGGCGACGGAATACTTGAGAAAACGTTGTGGAGAAAGGTTGGAAACGATAAAAACAAAAAATCAATAACAGGAAACTGTTAACACAAACACTCCAGCGATCAAAACTTGGAAGCCACGCAAAACGAAATAGCGTCTCCAATAATCACCAGCTCCCCTTCCTTCCCCTCGTACGTGCAACTGGCCTCTCCTGGAGATGCATGCAACCCACTGCGCGTTCCTCGAATCCCGGAGCTCAAGGGTAGAGGAACAAACAACTGCATAAGCATAAACCTTCGGAGGTCCCCGCAGTTTTCTCGGATCGGCGCTGGGCTGATAGAGGCCTCCTAAATGGGGTCGGAGTAGATGGGGTCGAAGGATCGCGCCGCATCGCCGATACATCAGCGATGCATCGGCGATGCATCGCCAATGCATCGGCGATGCAATGGCGATGCATCGTCGACGTGGGCGATGCATGTGCGACGCCGACGTGACGCAAATCGAGCTCCACTTCCAGCAGCATCGGCGATGCATCGACGATGAGGCGCGATCCTCCGACCCCATCTACTCTGATCCCGCCTCCCTCCCTTGCTCGCGGAGCGCGCTGGGGTCGGCGGCGACGATAGGGGCGAATAGCCCAGGGGCGGGCGTTACACGTTTTCGCCAGAGAGCCTTGTCGAAGACATAGATCCTCGGCACCCCTGGATACTTGCATTGCTCCCCCCTGGGCTATTCGCCCCTATCGTCGCCTCCGATGGCCATCGGAGGCGACGATAGGGGCGAATAGCCGATCGGAGGCGACGATAGCCATCGGAGGCGACGATAGGGGCGATCTGGCGCGGGCCCCCATCGGCCGATGGGGGCCCGCGCCAGAGGCACCACCAAAGAGGGTCCCGGCGCCGACCCGCACAAACTCCGCGCGAGCCTCCGAACACATCTGTCAGGAACAATGACAGGCGACACCAACACCACCACGGCGAGGAGGTTCGAAGAGGGAACGGGGGTCTCCGTGGTCTTGCCGTCGCTCGGACGTCCAGTTCCCGTGCATGTTTCGATTTCGTGCGTGTTTTGGTGTGCTCGATGGTCCAGGATGGTCCTCGATGGTTCTCGCCGAAAAAAAAATGCACACGTCCGAGCGATGCCAAATGGTGGAGTGGCCCCCCCTCTCCCTCGAGACGTCTCCGGCCTCCAGCGCTCGGGGAGGCACCGAGGCCCTCCTCTCGCGGGAGGTGGGCCCCCTGGTGGTGCTGGTATCGCTCCTCCTCCCTCCGAATGTCTCGCCATCGCTCGGACGTCCATGTCCCGTGCATTTTTCGGGTCCGTGTGTGTTTTTTGGCTCGATGGTCCAGGATCGTCCTCAATGGCTCTCGCCGAGAAAAAATGCACACGTCCGAGCGATGCCAGGATGTATGTTTATTGAACTTGCTCGTCTTCGATCCGTCCCGTCGGCCCTCGGAAATCTCGACACGTTCCGCGGGACCGGCCATCCTCGGAAGGTCCCCCAGGCCCCGGCGAGGGGGGCCTCCAGGGCCCGAGAACGGCAGAGCACACACTCCCGCAGCTGCTCGTGTCCCGACGCGAGGGGCTCTGGGATCTCGAGTGCTGCAACGGCGCGCCCCCGGGCGCGCGCTTCTCGGGCTGGTGCTGGCACTGGCGCACGAAGTGGTCCAGCACGGCGACGCTCAGGGCCGAGACGCTGTCCGCGCAGACCTCTCGAGGGGGGGCAGGAGGGAGGGAGGCTGTGGGGAGGAACGCTCTCGGATGCGTCGAAGAAGGGGACCCATGAGAAGGAACACATCGGGGATCTTCTGACCCGGGTCAATCCAGACCCGGGTCAGCAGGAAACCAAAAACTGCAATGCAGGAAAAAAACTGCAACGCAAGTCTTCGCAGACCCGGGTCAGCCAATGTGCGCGGCCGCCTCGCGGCCACGAGCGGCTCCCTAACCCGGGTCAGCCAGAGGGGGTCTTCGCAGGATCCTGCAGGATCTGGCGCCCTGGCTGACCCCCCGTTTGCATTGACCCCCGTCTCGAGGCTCCCGAACACAGAGGAAGAAACACTACCTACATCCGCCGGCACCCTGTCGGGGCCAGCCGGCTCCGAGGAGTAGACTTGCTGCTCACGCTGCTATCCGATATGACAATTCTGTGTTCTGCTTCCTACTGGAAACTGTTGAAGTCCGCGCGAGGGTGGGGAGTCGAACAGGGCCCTGGCGACCTTCACCTGGGAGGGTTCTCAATGTTTCTGCGGGATCCTGGGACACGCAAAAAAAACATGAGATTCGCGCCCCGAACCGCAGTCTCTTGTAAATACACTGCACCCGCGCCACCGAGGCCAAAATCCTTTTATAGATTATCACATGTTCGCGTCCCCGAGGCCATATTCCCTCGCAGATTACGCCGTGTTTGCGCTCCCGAGACCAACATGTTCTTGTAGATGAAACAAAATCCGTGTCTTGGAGACAATACTCTTCTGTAAATGACACAATGTTTGCGTCCTCGAAACCACGATCCCTTTTTAAACTACGCGTTCTTCGCGTCCCCGAAATCACAAACCCATGTGAGGTATACAATATTTCCGCTGTCGACACAATCCTTCGTAAAATGCCCCCAAGACAGCAAAAGAGGCCTCCGAGACGGCCCAAGATAGCTCCAAGGTGCCCAAGATGGCCCCGAGACGGCCCAAGAGGCTCCCAAGAGGCCCGCAAAGATCGCCCGAGAGGGGCCCACGAGGCCAACGTTTGCGATTTTCCCTGAGAACTTGATGACTTCTGGCACGCTCGTATCTCCAGTGGCCCCCGTCCGGAGTTCCGACGCTGCTGCAAAGCGGCGCCCAGGCCTCACAACACAGCCCCTGCACACCCCATCCTTCGAGAGAACGGGGCCTGCGGCAGGGGGCGGCGCCCTCACGGATGTGTAACCACTTGTGGGGCTTCTCGCGGCTCTCTCGGCGGTGGACAAACCTCCCTTTAGTAAACCTCCCCTTGGTGAAAGCGGCCCGGGACCGAAACCGACGGACCTGGACCCGCAAAAATGACGGCCGCGACGCCCTCTCGCGAGCCGAAAACGGCCAATTCCTTACTCGACGTCAGGGTAGGAGGTCTGTCCACCTCCGAAACATCAGCGGCCAAGGCGACTCCTGCCGAGTAACGCGGCCCGCATGCCCTCCCCCTCCTCGTTGACCCCGCTCCTCCACTCTGTTTTTGTTCATGCGAGCGGGCAGGCCGTTGATCAATCGATCGGGGCGGAGACGAGGGCCAGTGAATTGGCCTGCGCCACGTGTGCCGCCTGATCAGCAAAATACTCAACTGCACACGAAGTGGTCCCCCCTCTTGGACACGGGCACCGTGGAACAGTGTAACTAATTATGCGGGAACGCAGTCCGCCACCGTGCACGCGGCACGCTGAGGCGTGGAAGAGAGCCAAGTGCTGCCTGGCAAGGCTTCTGCACTCTCCAAGGCTTCCATGACGCCCAGGAGGCCCCCAAGACGGTCCAAGAGGGCCCCGAGTCGCCGAACGATCGCCCGAAGACGCCCAAGATGGCCTCAAGATGGCCCAAGAGGCCTCAACGACGCCCAAAGAGGCCTCTAAGAGGCAAACATCATGGATGTGCCTTAGGTGTTCGACCGATGTTGGTGTTTTCGCCTTTTCGGCTCTTCAATGTTCCACGACGGCCCAAGACGCCTCCAAGACCACTCCAAAACTGCCTAAGACGCCTCCAAGAGGACCCCAAGACGGCTCAAGAGCATCCCGAAACTGCCCAAGAGGCGCCAACGACGGCCCAAAATGGTCCCACGATGGCCCCAGAAAGCGGCCCAAGAGAGGGAACATGAACCGAAAATCCAAGCCTTCCGCCCCAAGAGGCCCCCAGGAGGCTCCAAGAGGCGTCCAAAAGGCCCCAAGAGGCCCCCAAGAGGCCCCCAAGAGACCCCGAGAGGCCCCCGAGAGGCCCAAAAGAGGCTCCAGGCCCAGGAGGCCCCCAAACGGCCCGCACAAGTCTTCAAAACTGCCTCCAGGAGGCCCTCGAGAGCCCCCCCACGAGATCCCAGTGCACATCCAGTAAGCTTCAGTCCCGACATGCGGCGGGGCCTCCCAGGAAATTTCACACCGCGCTCGTGGGATCCGGGGTGGCAAAACATGTTCTGGTGCTCTTGCGCCGATCCTTGGCGGCGCGCAGAGGGGGGTGGGGGGAGGGGGAGGGCTTCTTAGAAGCAGGCTGCTTCTTAGAAGGCGCCGGCCTCACATCTCGAGAGAAGGCGCGCGCCTTCTCAGAAGCAGGGGTGCTTCTGAGAAGCCCTCCCCCCTCCCCCCACCCCCCTCTGCGCGTGGCTGAGATCGGGTGCACCTGGCCGCTGGCCGTCCCCCTGGTGGCCCGCCCCCCCCTCGTGCTCGCGCCCTCGGCGCCAGCCCCCCCCCCCTCTGGGGCGGCCCTGCCCCCTGCCCTGCGCGCGGCCCATCCAGGGGCCGCGTGCTGGGTGGAGGGCCCCCATCCGGCCGTCCTGGGCTTCACTCGGGCGTGTCCCCCTGCAGGCGGACCATAGTCAAACAATACTCAAAAAGTCATCCCCCGACGTTTTTTTTCGTTTTAGAAGAAAAAAAGAAGAAACAACATTTTTGGATGTTCCTCCTGTAAGAGGGACGTGCCCGACTTACTCCCGGGCCGCCGGTGACCTGCCGCTCCCGCGGCTGGGCCTCCGCCGCCGCCGGGCTGGCCTGGTGGCTGGGCTGCTGCCCGCCCCGCCCGGCTCTGCTGCGCGCTCCGGCCACGCGGTCCGCTTCCCGTGCTTCTCCCTTCCTCCGCCGCCTCCTTGCTGCCCTCCCTTCCGGGAGGGCAGCGCATCCACCCCGATGATAACCACCCCGACGCGCGGAGCCGTTCAGGACACGCGCCCCCACCCCAAGAAGGAACCAAACAGGGCAGGGCTGCTTCGTAAACGCCCAGGGCCGTTTAGTAGACGCCAGTTGTCCGGTCCAGGCGGTTTTTCCTCCATTGTCTTCCGCGCCGCCATGGCGCCGCATGGGCCGCTGCCGCCGCGCGCTCCCAGCCAGCGCGCCCAGCCTATGCTGGCACCGCCTCGGCAGTCGTCAGCGTCACGGTGGCTCATCGCAAGCAGCATTCGATTGCAGCCCACGCGTTTCGGCGCAGACCCGTGCGGGCTTTTTGTGTTTCTTTCTGGACCATCCTGGTCCCGCATCCAGCTGGCGCCCACCCTCTGCAGCAAAGCCTGACGTTTCCGGCCACGTGACGGACAATTGGATTCTCCTGGACTCCTGCTCCTGCAGCCCCGCAGGCCCTCTTCCTGGTGTACTCTTTCTTCTTGTTCTTCACGCTTCCAATGCCTGCAGCAGCCCTGGCTTCGGTCCCTGGGTGTGGCCATAGTGCCGTGCCGCGCCCACTGCCAGGTCACTTCAGCCCCGGCTGGCCGATCCGCTGTGCTGGCCCTGCAATGCTTTCAACCGTCTTTCAATCGTGTGTCGGGGGCGCGCAAGCATGGATCGGGGGAGGTGCCCTCCGCAAAATGCGGCCGGTGCCGCCTCGCTCGGCAGCGGAAATCCGCGATTACCCATGGAAACGGGACCCGTCGCTAATCCACGCCCCCTTCGTCCATGTTTGCGATCGCCCGAATCCTCCTCCTCCCTCCTGTCCTATGCGGCCGCTTCTCCCCCCGTGCGCCCTGTCTTGCAGCCGGACAATCAGTTGGTCGCGTGCACCCCTGTCCAACAACTCGAGCGTCTGTGCGGATCGCTTGCCTGCCGCGCTGAGGAGTAAACGCGGGGAAGGGGCTGGGCACGTCTCGGGGAAACCACGTCACCGTGCTCTCTCTCTGGAATGAATTTGGCCTCTGCGGGCCTTGTTGGGGCCATCTCGGGGCCTTTCTGGGCCGTTCGGGTGCGCTTGTGGGCAAATTGGCCAAGCACTGGCCATCTGGGGCCCATCTCGGGGGCCTCTTGGGGCTTTCTTGGGGGCCTCTTGATGCCATCGTGGGCGATGCACCGTTCGCTCTTCTGAGCTTTGCCGTTAAGAATTTTGTTTTCACATCGCCTTTCGCTTTTGGGAGCCGTGGTCTTGAGAGTTTTTGTCACGTCATCGTTCGCTATTGGGAGCCTTGGCGTTACGATTTTGTGTCACGTCATCGTTCGCTATTGGAAGCTTTGGTGCGAATAGCTGGTTCATGTCATCGTCTGCTCTCGGGAACATTGGCGTCAAGAGCTTGTCACGTCACCGTTCGCTTTTGGGAGCCTTGTTGTGAAGACATGTTCACGTCACCGCTCGCTATTGGGAGACTTGGAGTTTGGAGCCTTTTGCGTTACTGTTCGCTCTTGGAAACCTTGGCGTTAAAAGCTGTTTACTTCACCGTTCGCTCTGTGGCGCCTTGGCGCTAAGGGCTTCCTGCGCCACTGCTCACTCCTGGGACCCTTGGAATTCAAAGCCGTCCAAACTGCGTGCGCGATTGGGCCATCTGGGGAGGGGTCTTCTGGGTCCCCGCTCGGGTGTCTCGGGGCCCTGTTGGGTCGTTCTGGGGCCCTCTTGGGCCGTCTTGGGAGGTTGGGCTTGTCTTGGGGCCCTCTTGGGACGCTCTTCGGGGTCTCCTGCGACACTCTGGGGGCTCTCTGGGGAGCTTCTTGAAACCCTCTTGCCGTTCTGGGGCTCCTCTTGGGAGCATTTCGGGGATGCCTGGGACCTCTGGGTCCGCCTTAGCAGGCTTGGTTGGACCGTCTTGGGGCCCTCTTGGGACCCCTGGGGGCCACCATACAGTGAGGCTGCTGAAATAAGGAACGCTACAGAAGGAGCGAAGCCCCTCTGTGGCCTCAAAAAAAGCCTGGGTGCACGAGAAGGGCTAGAGGAACAACCACGTAAGAACGCAAGGAACATCGAGCCCCTTCCGGATCCAAACTGTTCCTTGTTTCAGCGACTTGGCTGCATTGTTTTCTCGAGTTTTTTTGGGGGGGCCTCTGAGAGCCCTCGTCGGTCCCTCCTGGGGCTCTCTGCGGCTGGCCTGGGGCCCGCGTGGGAGCCTCCTGGGCCGCCTTGGGGCAAGCTCGGGGGGCCCCCCGCAAAAGCGCCTTCTTCGCCCGATCCGGGCCAGAGCGCACGAGAACCCAGGCATGATCGATCCACGAGCCCAGGAGGGGATTGAGAACTGCGAGGCGTGCAGCCGTTTCTAAGGACATCAATTGCAGATGCAACTGGGCGATGCCAAGGGGACATGCCAGAGGGGGCGCGCCGCGGAGTGTCCCAAGGGACGCGCCAACGGACGTGCCAGGGGACGTGCCATGGGGACGCACCGCGGGACGTGATAAGGGGACGCGCTACGGAACGTGCCGAGGGACGTGCCACGGGACGTGCCAGGGGACGCGCCGCGCGAAGTGCCAGGGGGACTCGCCACGGGACACGCCGCGGAACGTGCGAGGGAACGTGTCAGGCGACGCGCTAGGGGACGTGCCAGGGACCGCGCTCCCAAGCAAGCTCCTTTGCTGCTCCAAATGCGCGGGATTCCCGCAAGTACGCCGCGCAAAGCGCCGTGTGAGACGACAATGTTACGACCAATGGACGAGCAGGGCAGCGTGGTCCGTCACGCCCGATTCTGCACTAAAGGCAATCAACACAAACTTCGGACACTGAGAAGACAGGCAGGCCCTTTGCAAAGTCGCGTGACGCTTGGGCACGTGCCCGAGGCGACCGCGTCGCCGGTAAGCTCTCCGCACGGGGGTCTCCGATTGTAATGCACCTGGTGATCGAAATGACCTCCACCCAACGAGGTGCACACCTGTGAGTCCGAGCTCCGCCATAACAAATTGCCTAAACCAATCTACATATATATATATATATAGATATGTATATATACATATATATATATAGATGTGCTTGATTGCCAAGCCGCCTTGTCGTGACAAAGCCAGAACCAAGAGGACGAAATAAGAGGCGGGAGGCTGCAGCAGGAGCATGGTCGGTGGCAGCCGGGAGCGCCCGCCGACCAGCCTGCGCCCGACACCGGAACGCGCGCGGGCGAGCAGCGGAGAGACATCCCAACTTCCGTCAGCCGAGCCACACGCCGGAGCGCGAGGGGCGACAAGAGAGACGATGCCGGCCTGTCCTCTCCGCTTTCTGCGGGAGCGGCGGCACGCCCACCGATATGTTCGACTGCATCACGTGCGGGCGGAAGAGCGGAGGAGGCGGGGACGAGCGGGCAGGGGAGCTCACTCAAACAGGGCGGCTCGCGCAGACTTTCACTGGCAACGAAAAAATGTCTCCGGTGTTTCAAACATCCCCCGGCTGTGCCTAC